AGTGTAAGCCTGAGAGCGTGACCCACACCAGAGACTAAATCTGGATCTTTTTTTGCTTTGATTTTAACCATCCTGTCTCTAATGAACACCCCCACTTTATGATAATTCCTCATCTCTTAAGTGCCTCTTTAACATTTGATTAATTCTGAGCTTAATAATCACTGAATTTCTTTCTCCTTCCCAGAGAAGGACAGGCTTCTGTCAGCCAGCTACGGGTCCAGGGATCTCCTCGGAGATGGGAGCTCCCGTCCCTCCGGCCTGGTGGGCTCCGAGTTCCACCGGCAGCAGGAGGAGGAGGAGGAGGAGGCGCTGAGACGGAAGCTCAAGTACTTCTTCATGAGCCCCTGCGACAAATATCACGCAAAGGGACGCAAACCCTTCAAACTGGGCCTGCAGCTGCTGAAAATCATCATCGTGACCGTGCAGGTGGATGTGACGATGATCTGACCCGTTGGTTGTTCTGTTGTAGCTGCTGCTGCTCTAACCCTGGATGCTGAAGCTCGTTTTGTCCTTGACTTTCAGTTGGTGCTGTTCGGACTCAGCAACCAGATGGTGGTGACGTTTAAAGAGGAAAACACAGCGGCATTCAGACACCTTTTCCTGAAGGGTTATCAGGACAACGCTCCGCAGGCCGTCCACACGCAGATGGAGCTGTACAGCCACGTCTACTTCGCCGTAGAGCAGGTGACCTTATGTCGGCCGCAAGGACACACACGAGGGCTGTCTAACCGTTCAGGGGCTTTTATCCACTCAGGTTTTCAGATATAAGGATTTTCTGGGCATGCATAGAGTTTTTTTTTTTTTAAATTAAGCAGCAACATGTTTTCCCAAAAATGCAGCCCCCTGCTCCTCAAGACAGGTTACATTAGATGGGCTTTTTACTCCTGATTAAGCCGTTTTGTATCAACGATTCTCAGTCAAGGCAGCTAATATTTGGTTTTACAAAATATGCAGCCATATATTCTGTTGGAGCAGAAAAAAATTGCAAACGCCTCGCTGTTGATGACTTTCTCTTTTTGACTGTAAGACTTTAATCTGGAGCCCTGGAAGCTTTTCTTGGGGTTTTTCCACCATAGTCTGCTGTAGTCGACTCCGTCTCCATGGTTACGCCCCTCTTCGACCCCGGCAAACCAATCATTGCAGGTTGATGTTAAAATCATTGCTAAACGTGTTCCAGTGCTGTAATGTTTCCACGTTTAAAACTCCAGCTAAATGTTGAGCGATTTAAGTGGTTTGATCATTATTGTGTGAATTTATTCTGCAAGAGACGAACATAACCGAAGTTCATTTATATGTAAAAGCTCCACATGCATCTGCTTTAATCACAGACTGGTTGGGAAACATGACTTGTGTCTCGCTAGCCGCACTGTGAGGCTGTAGGTCGTAGCTACGATTTCATGATTTCAGCCACATGCATCCAATACTTATTTCCCTCGATCAACTGGAAGTTAATTCATAGCTGTTAGATAATGTGTTTTTGTGGATTTTTTCTTATTAATTATAGACCGAAATTCACACTACAGCAGCTGAGGCAGTACGATAGGGCTGAAAAATAAAGATATAATAATAAAGGTCAGGGAAAATATTCATTTACGTTCAATCTACATATGGATACGTACATATATGACTTGATGAATTTACATATGTGCAGGTTTGGCGTGGAGGAAAATGTACCCACAGTTCTGTCACTGCAGTGAAAAGCGTTATTGATGGAAAGACACACATGGTGTTTTTACACATGAAGAGCTGTAAGAGAGAGTTGTATCGGAGCAAACTTTGATTTTTTAGGAAGAGCTGTGTGTCCTGGGTGCCTGAATGGGACGTTTACAATGTTTATCATCTTAATTTATCATTTTAACGTGCTGATTCACACTAAACACAAAGTGCAGCCGAGGTAGATGGGAGTATCTTTGCAGGTATTTAGTCATAAACCAAAGTAGCAGTCAGATAACAAAGAAATCAGGCTGCTGTAGGTTTTTGTCGTACAGTGCTGGGAAAAGACACTGCAGCACAAAGGAGCTTTTGTATTGAGGAGGTCACAGAAGCATCTCAGAAGCCACCTGCAGGGCGGGATGCCAGCGTGTCAGAGGCAGGGCAGGGATTGGGTTTTTTATTCTTTTGTAATTTGGGTAAGCTGATCCTGCAAAGAATTTAATTAGCATTTGTGTTCAAACCTGTTTGAAATTTGAAGTTTTCCTCCCTGTTTATTGTACATAAAGTACAGTTTCTACCCAAGAGCTGTCGTTGCCCCGAACGCCGCAAATTCCCATGAACCCTTCTTCAGAGTAAAATAGAAAAATCTCTGTTCATAACACTCTCAGTGCAATGACTTACCGAACGCAATATCCTGATTGTTTTTTTATTTATTTTTGTATTAATTTTTTTTATTCTATGTTCTATTTTTTCCTATTCTTCATCCCTTCTCTTTAGTCGTGTAAATACCCCTCCTCCCCCCGTGAACTGTACAGTCTTTTAAAATTGTTATACTTTGTCTTGTGCACGTTTGTCCTGTTGTTTTGCCTACGAGAGCTGCTAACTCAAATTTCCTTGTGCTTCTCGTACAATGACAATGAAGAGATTCTGATTCTGATATGCGCCTTATGATTTGTTTTGTCTCTTTTACATCCATCCTCTGCCTCTTCAGTACTTGGCTCTGCCTCAGATCTCTCTGGGACGGTACGCGTACGTGTTGGACCCCGGCATGAACGGAAGCGCGCTGTTGCTCTGCCAGAGGTTCTACAGCCGGGCCACCATCGACCCCGTCAACGACACCTTCGACATCGACCCGCACGTTAACACCAGTAGGAAGATTTGAATTCAACTCTGTCAAAAAAAATCACTAAATATGGTTTTATTAGAGTCTGGCTCTGGAAATGGGAAACAAAGAAAGTGTCCTGGAGCGAGCCGACATTATTCCAGTGAGTCTTGTGCATCCAGAGGGGAAGTGAAAGATAAGGGGCAGCGAGAGGGGTAATAAATGTGGCACTTGGGAACTATTTCAACTTGCTAAGCAGCTAAATATCAAGAATCTGTTTCTAGAATCTTCTGCTCTACCTTTGAACTCTGTGTTCATTAAATGACCCCCTTTTGTCTTAACATTTCAAACCAATTAAACCAGTTCTTCCTCCCCGGCCTGTCCCCGGGTTTTCTCGGCCTTTAAGGAAGCGACTGTGTCAGTGAGTCACTGTGTCGCTGCTCCACATATGTCAAGAGCTGCCCTACTTTTCAAGGCTTAAAATAACTTAAATGAATCATCAAAAATGCAACACGAAAGCCTTTTTTTTCTTTTTCCATAAACTTGACTCGTAGCAACGCCGTGTTTCTTGTTGGGAAAGCAGCTATTTGCAGACACCTGCTGACTTGGCCGAGGCGGCTGTTGGTAAATGTTGTGGCAAAAATAAAAAGAAGGGGCGATAAAAATGGATGTCAAGCTCCCAGAGGGCTGATGTGCATTTCAGATGCTTTGAGGAAGTGTGGAAATGCAGTTTGGGATTCATGTGATGTGGGAAAAAAAGCATCATTTGTAAGACTTTGAAATATGACTTCCCCATGAGAAACCTTTCAGTTCCTCTAATGCTGCTTTCTGATTTTCTTTTTCCAGCGTGCGTCGGGTTAAATCCTTTGACTGACGGCTCGGTTCCAGGAAACGGTGACTACAAGAATTTCACTCTCGAGTTTTACAAGTTAGATGATTTTATATTTGTCTGTTTAAATTTAAAAATCACGTTTCCTCTTTACGGTTTCAACTCTGCACATTGAATCCTCAGCGTCTCTGTATTTTCTCTCCAGGCTCATCAATGTGACGATTGACTTCAAGCTGAAGGCCATAAACATCCAGACCATCATCAACAATGAGATCCCCGACTGCTACACCTTTGCCATCACAGTGAGCCAGATCCCTCCTACTCTTCCTTTTTAAACCAACATCCTGCATGACAGCAGAGCGCAGATAGAAATCCGTCCTGCTTTGGATACACAAACTCACAGATGTGATAAGATAAAGCGGTGTAAACATTTTCATGCTCTTGCTTGTGCTATCAGATCGTCATGGATAACCGGGCGCACAGCGGCAAAGTTAAGATCAGCCTGCAGAACGAGGCCTCCATTAAAGAGTGCAAAGACCCCAACGTGTCCGGACACGGTGAGCGATCGGTGGGAGGGGGAATGAGCCGGAACGAGTGGAGGCTTCAATTCATCTGTCACTTGATTTTCCTAATTGCCTTTGATCCCTGTAATTTGTCTTTTTCTCTGTCAGCTGAGAGCTACGCCCGGGAGTTCTTTGATGTGCTGGTGGCGACCGTGTGCTTGTTGTCGCTGCTGCTGTGTGGGCGCTCCATCGTCAGAGGCGTCCTCCTGCAGCACGTAAGACTTCTGTGTTTTACTTGATGTTTGTAAAATTTCAGAATCAGAATCAGAAATACTTTATTGACCCCCTCGGGGGGAAANTATTTTCAGGACATATTTTTCGACTTATCTCTTGTGTTTCAAAGCCTTTAAATGGGAGCAACTGTCAGCAGTCTCCTCTCTGGGATCAATAAAGTTAATCTGATTCTGTCTACATGGTTCAGATCTTTGATGTAGGGTTCAACCTTAGAATCTGTGCAAGAGCTTCAAGAACTAGTTCATATGGTTCAATGTTGCGCAATTAAACCACATCTGTATGGAAACGACGGCTGCTAAAAAACAAAAAACTTCCACCAGAAACATGAACCTCCAGCTGTGTGAGTGTAGCCTGTGAGAGGTTTAACTGTGTGTTGCATCAGGTGGCTGATCCACCCAAAAAACAACAAAAGGAGGATTTATTAGTCTGTTTTCCAGGTGAATCAGAGATTTAAGGGTCACGCCACCAGTTTTACACATTAAAGCTGAGGTAGGCAGCATTACTTCGGCATCGTTGCGCAAAAATTCCAGACTAAGCTTTCAGCATATTGTAGTTCGAGTAGTCTGAGAGGAAACTGGATTTCTGCACCTCTTCCTGGCTGGATTTTATTCATCTTAACGTTCCATCTTGAAGAACATCTCAATTTGTAATTTACACCAGGAAAGCTATGAGTGAGGATGCAGAAAAGTTTAATGCTCTGGAATCTAGAAACAAGTAATAAAGGAAAACGTTCATACAACTGCATCAAACAGGAATCACACACTGCGAGTTCATTTCAGCTGCTTGAGATGAAGCGAGACGTTCACAATCTGTGGGTTTATTGAGACGAGGAAACGTAAGCTAATTATTAACCGTCCAGTCCTGCCATGATGATCACTGATACCCAACTAGAGTCATGATCAGATGTGTCCTCGATGAAGCCTTTTCTGTGACATGAATGAGCTTCACACGCAGCTGGAATCTACAAACCAGAAACTATGAAACAGAAAGGTCTGAACTTTCCAACTGTCCTTGAACTACTCATCCATGAGGCACTGTTCCACTTTTTTTTAGTTGATACTCTCTGTCTGTCACGAATGTTTTTTGTCTCAACGACGTGCATGTGTGGGTTAAATAAAACAATAAATATGCTCAAATAGACTTAAACATATACTATAAGTGATCATCGAGATCCTAAAAGACAGCAGCAGGTCATAACGTAACAATGGGCCGATGATGCAGTCGTTCCACATGTCGTGTTTAATTGACGTTGCTCCTAAAACAACAGCTCTGAGGCAAAGACGTCACATTTTGTTAAACGCCTCGACGGCTTCACCCTCGTGTC